TTAGGGGTTTAGGGTTTATGTGTTTAGGGTTTAGAATCCTCGACCAAGAGCAAACGAGTCGGATGCCCCAAGCCCGACATCCCAACTCCGAAGCAACAGATGCCGCAGTTCTGTCCGGCAGCCTACATCGCAGATCCTAAACTCCTTAACATCTAACCCTAAATCAGATACCAGCGCCTCCAGACTCTGGACCTTCCATCTACCCTCTAGTAGAGCCGAATACCCATTATTTGGGACCACGCGCCCTTATATGAGGCTACACCCTAAACCCTAAACCGCTAAACCCCTAAACCGTTACCCCTAAACCCCTAAACCCAGAAACCCCTAAACCCCTAAACCCCTAAACCCTAAACCCCTAAACCCTAAACCGGAGGGGTCCTGGTAGACAAGAACCGACAGCCCGAAAAGGCGCACACGGCCGCACTCTTGGGACTCTTGGCGGCGGATATGCCTGGCTCAGCAAGTCTTGGGGCTTCGGGATTTAGGGTTTAGGGTTTAAGGTTTAGGGTCTAGGGGCTTGAGTGCGTTCGGTCGCGTTTTGGGTTTTCTCGTAAGGTTATTCCTACCCATAGGCTCCAGTGTAGTTCCTTTTTGTGGTTTATATTTGGAATCCTCTAGGGTACTCCCAAAAAGGAGCTACAATGGAGCCTATGGGTAAGCCCTAAAGCGCAGGATCAGGGCTTCCAAATGTAGGGAGCTTGGGTTGGCAGGGCTATGGTGATCAGGGTTTAGGGTTTTGGGTTTAGGGTTTTAGGGTTTTAGGGTTTTCGGGTTTTAGGGTTTTAGGGTTTAGGGTTTAGGGTTTAGGGAGGGCTTAGGCAGCGGAATCAAAAAGGAGTTTCATGTTTCTGAAGGCTTGATGCGGATATTATGCGAATTGCCAGGTCTGTTCTTCGTCTCGTGATTCTTCTTCGTTGTTCAGACCATGTGTCTGTTAGCGTGAATTTCCCCCTAAACCCTGCGAGCCCCAAACCCCACAAACCAGAAACCCAACAAACCCTATGAGCCCCTGAACCCCAAGCCCTGTAATATCCCAAACCCTACAAATCAAAAACCCAACAAACCTCATGAGCCCCAAAGTTTATTCTTTAAGGAGCAGAGAGCACCGCAAGCGACGGCAGCGAGGAGGAAGTTCCGCTTCTGGAAAAGACTCTCGGCACCCCGAAACCTCGAAACCCCTAAACCCCTAAACCCGAAACCCCTAAACCCCTAAACCCCCCCGAAACCCCTAAACCCGAAACCCCTAAACCCCCCGAAACCCCTAAACCCGAAACCCCTAAACCGCTAAACCCCCCGAAACCCCTAAACCCCCTGAACCCCTAAGCCCTAAACCCCCCGAAACCCCTAAACCCTAAGCTCCTCGAAACCCGTAAACCCTAAGCAAGATTCTCGGCGCGGAGAGGCTTCTGGGTTGGAGGCAGCGAAGGAGCCCCAAGGGGCGCTTCAAGGATCCTCGGGAGTACCCAGAGAGCCCGAAACCCCTTAAAGAAGGAATATACACCTTACATTATAGGAGCCTTAAAGGGATCTACAAGGGTTTCTTTAAGGGTACTACAAGAATTAGGGAAGTTTGCCTTACATTATAGGGGCCTTAAAGGGATCTATAAGGGTTTCTTTAAGGGGTACTATGAGAATTAAGGAAGTATACCTTACATTATAGGGGCCTTAAAGGGATCTACAAGGGTTTCTTTAAGGGTACTACAAGAATTAGGGAAGTATACCTTAGATTATAGGGGCCTCAATATTATGATTTAAGGTGTATTCCTTAATTCAGGGGTATTGGGCTCTCTGGGTAGTAAGTACCAGACCCTCCTTATAATATAGAAGCCCCTTTTTAGGGGATCCTTCAAGGGATCTTTAAGGGTTTCTTTAGGGATTCTATAACGGCACTATTAAGGGTTGTATAATGGGTATTTCTCTAAATGGGGAGGGGGGGCGCCTCTTTTAGGGTCCTTTTATAAGGGTGCCGTACTGTATGTTGGACCTGACAAGCGGGCCCGAATTTAGAAAACTGCCCATATAGAAGCCTAAATAATGACCAATGCTATTCCTTAGGGTTCCCTAGTATAAATATACTATAAAGGAGCCCAAATCCTTGTTCTAACCTTTTTAAGGCCCCTATAGTACCCTCGACATAGGGGTATATGCTCCCAAATCATGGGTATTTCGGATCTAATGGAGGGCAGATGGAGGGTCTGGGCAGGCTTAAGTTATAGCCATACTAGTTGGGGCTATAGCTAATTGTAAGTGGAGTTAAAACTCATGTGAGACCTACTTACGCCTTACGCATCCCCTGCTGCGACGAGTACACTTATGCCATGGCCTGCCCTCGTCTATGAAGGCCATGTCAAGTAAGGTTTTCATGAACCAGCTTTTTTCACGTACACAGGGCTCCCAGTGAATGTTTGTGAGTGTATATGTTGGGTTTTTTTGTGTGGGAAGGTTTGTAATACAATCTGTACCTCATATCAAGGCTTCTGGCGACAAAGGGGCTCGGACGTCCAAGAACATCAAAACCCAGGCTACAGGCATCGAACAAATCCTAAACCCTCAAAACACTGAAAAGACTCTCCAAAACCTAAAACCCCCGTGCGGCACCTACTTTCGGGTTTGGGGTTTACTGGGGTAGATGAGAGAAGTATGCGATCAGAAGCCCAGGTGCAGTCCCCATACAAACCTCAGCATGCAACGACTTCAGAAGCCCCTAAACCCTAAACCTCAGAAAGCCCTACCCCGCCGTTGAACCCCAAATCCCAGAACCCTGTAACAGCAGGTTAGCTTGCACAAGGAGGAGGCTAGCCTCACGAAACCCTACAAAAGCCGTTCCAAAGGACTTGAAGTTTCAGATCGGTCCTATAGTTACCCTAAACCCGACACCCTAAACCCTAAACCCCTAAACCCCTAAAGCCCTAAAGCCCTAAACCCTATGCATGACCCATTATTGTCAAGCCCTTACTGGATAATTTCGAACGGCCCCGATCTTAGGAATGCGAACGCCTTCATCGACCGCTGCTGGGGAGAACTTCGAAACCATTGGGTTTAGGGTTCGTGGTTTAAGGTTTAGGGTTCGGGGTTCAGGGTTTAGGGTTGTTGTGATTTTCCGTTACACCTTGACGCTTTACACCCAAAGAGTCGGATTTTAAGGGGCTTTCGGTTTCGGTCGCGCCTTCTATGCTGCCCTTAGAAACACTGTCTGGGGGGCTCCTTATTATAACTGTAGTACAGCATACCCTAAAGCCCTATTCTAATTAATTACTTTTGCGGCGGGCTCCTTTTTATAGTTATAGTAGAATGGACCCCAAAACCCTATCCCAATTATTAAGGCCCCCTTTTTTTAGCTGCCAAGGGATGAAGCCCAGAGAAGACAAGCTCTTCAATGATGGAGATCCTTGCCGCCTAGCCCCAAACCCTAACCCCCAAAACTCCAAACCCCTGAACTTTAGGGTTTGGGGTTTAGGTTTTAGGGTTTAGGCCCTGGACCCTTACACCCTACACCCCTAAACCTTACTTAGAACCGTAAACCCTAAGCCCAAGAAAGTACAGGCAGATCATGAGTAAACCCCTTCGGGAACGCAAACTAAAGAAACCAAAGCCCTATTTATAAGAATCACAGCGAATCCTGAAACCAAGTCGAGCCAGCATGGAAGTCTGATGATTAGCAGCGAAAACCTGTATGACCCAAAAGCCTTTGAAAGCCCTAAGTCTAAACATAAACTAGCTAAGCTAGACCCGGTAAACCCCAATTCCCTTCTGATACCCACTTATCGTCACTCCTGTAGGAACCGTTAAAGGGGCCCTATTCTACATTGCAGACTAGATACTTACGAAGCTACAGCAGCTTCCCAATTCCATAACCCCTATAACGCTTTATAAGGCCCTTTTGCAAAACCCGCATAAACCCCACACAAGCCCGTACAGATCATCACAAACTGGGCTTACGAAGCCCCCTAAACCCTAAACCCCAAACCCTAAACCCTAAACCACAAACCCTAAACCATAAACCCTAAACCACAAACCCTAAATCCCTAAACCCTAAACTACAAACCCTAAACCCTAAACCGCAGATTGAGGCTTGGGGCTCGGTGGAAGCCTCGCTGCCGCCCACCTGGAGTGGGGCAACGGCCATGCCGAAGAGCGCCTTGGCATCGATTTATCCAGAGAGCCCAATACCCCTAAAAGGATCTATAAGGGTCTCTATAAGGGTTCCATAAGGGAATTAAGGAATCATACCTTAAAATATTGGGGCCTTGATATTATGATTTAAGGTATAATTCCCTTAATTCAGGGGTATTGGGCTCTCTGGGTAGCACCGGGGGGGGTGGGGGTGTGGGATTCCCAAAAGCCTCAGAGCCGAAAATTCCCACTCAGGAGGCCTCAGCCTCAGTAGGATCTAGGGTTCAGGCTTCAGCGTGTGCTACTCTTATAGTAAACCCCAAAAAGTTGGAAACCGGATTTAGGACAAAGAGTGCTGGGATACCCCATACATGACCCTTAAGGATTGAGGCTATTGGGTTCAGGCTTCAGAGTGCGCTGCTCTTACGGCGTTTTGGAGTTGGATATTGGAGTTGGGGCTTGAGCAAGATACTCGAACCTGCGAAGTCAGCGCACCCGACCCTATCCAGACCTAAACCCTAAACCCTAAATAAACCCTAAACCCTATCCAGACCAAGGTCGCCACTTTCCGCGAGGAGCTTTCACCTCATCGTTGGCTCGGAAATAGTGTGCCCAGGCTGCTCGCGGAATTTCGGGCGTCAGCTCGGGGCTTGCAGCCTTGAGTCGAGGCTTTAGGGGAGAAGAAGTTTAGGATTTAGGGGTTTAGTGGTTTCGGGTTTAAGATGGTTTTGGCTTTAGGGGTTTAGAAGGTTTGGGGTTTAGGGTTGAGGGGTTTAGGGTTTAGGGGTCTAGAGTTTTGGGGCTAGTCTCGAACCCAAAACCGAAAACCCGACACCCTCAACCTGGTTTGGGACTTGCTTGGAGGTCTGCACCCCCGCATTTGTATTTATATCCTAGACATCCGAAACTTTAGTTCATCGCTGCGTAAAACCATACGTCCCAGGCCCGAAACTCCAACACGAACTGACAACCCAATCTTAATCCCAAATCCCAAATGCCAAAAACCCAAAGTCCAAATTCCAAATTCGAAGCCGTTGATTCCGGTTCGGATGCCCAGGTACATTCCGGAGTACATACCTGCCCTGGCCGAGAGCATCGCCTACTTGCTGGCTGATGATGGAAGTTCGACGGAATGTGTTTCTGTATAGTACCAAATACAACAGAATTGAGGGTTATCATATAGTAGAATACCAAATACAATATCTCTGAGTGTTATCATATAGTATAATACCAAACACACTATCATGTAGAGGCTTATTCTTCATGGTTTTTCAGGTTTAGGGGCCCGTGAAGTGTAGAAGGTACGGCTTCATCTTC